TGTATATGCATGTAGGTATGTAGGTATGTATGTAGGTATGTATCTATGTATGTATGCATATACATACGCACATATTAGAGAGAGCATAATATACCCCAAAACCCGGTTCCAATGTTGAAGGCCCCTACAGTATGCTCGGCGCTCCATCATGAGGCTTCATTCACCGAGCTTTGTGATTCTCTGTGAAGCATCGTAGAAGCAACCCCTAATTAGCCCTAAACCCTAAACCGTAAACATTTTACATTATGGCTTACTTATTAAGTCCCACGACCCTTCGAGCTCCGAGCGTGCCAGGCCTGAAAGAATCCCATGGGAGTTTCCGATAATAGGGGACCTTAAATATAGTACCCTAAATAATAGGATCCTCATTATAAGGACCCCAAAATAAGGTATCCTAATTTTCGGAAAAACCCCCCATGATCTGAGGTCGTTGCTGCAAAGATACAGGACGACCTTTTTTTCAGCAACGCCGGGGGGCCCGGCTGAAAGGCGTAGGGTTGACGAGTTGCGGGCTTCTTCTTGCAGGTAAGGGATGATGATGATGATGATGATGATGATAATGAATAATAATAATAAGAAGATGATGATGACGATAATGAATAATAATAAGATGATGATGATGATGAAGATGATGAAGATGATGATGATGATGGTGATGATGTGCTTCTTCTGTTGCTTGATAGTTAAGCACCAGTAAGAATGTCTATCCCCCTGATGGTCCCGAAACATGTAAGTATACAAGTTGCGCGACGCCTTGCTCCATAGTCATCAAGACCTTCAACTGTATGCACCCGTGCGACTCAGCATGATACCTGCCTTTAAGGGACCCTGGTGACAAAGAGCAACCACAGGGGACTTCAAACCCTGAGGATGACCTGTAGGGATTTGGGTTAAAGTCTCCTTACTATAATTCGAGTAGAATATACCCCAAAACCCTATTCTAATTATTAAGGCCCCTACGTTATACTATAAGTACACTGGGCTAACAAAGAGCCCCGACCCTCCAACCGCCTCCGGTCTGCTCACGGTGGAGGCTCACTACGCCCGCGTGTGCGGCCTCACACTTCGCGAGCTCAACAACCTAGAGGCAGCTACTCCTAGGTTAGGGTTTAGGGTTTAGGGATTCAGGAGGCAGCTATTCCCAGAGAACCCAATACCCCTTAAGTAAGGAATATGCCTTAAATTCTAGGGGCCTGGATATTATGATTTAAGGCATATACCTTAGTTAAGGGGTATTGGGTTTTCTGGGTTCCTAGGTCGTATCAGGGAAACCCCTTAAAAGGGGCCCTTCTTCACCCTACTTCTGGCTCTCTTAAACAGGGACCCCATTGAGATGGTCGATATCTCCAAGGGTCCCTTCAATCCTAACTCCTAGCTAATATAGAGTAAGACTGAGGTCCTTCAAGACTATGTATGTTTGTGCTATTTATATTAAATAACCCCAAAAGTATTCTCAAGAGTCAGAAAGGGGCCTAATAACTTAATAGTGTAGGGGTGTCAATCGTTAGAGTAGTCTTTCGGGTTTCCTGAACGGCTCCTATCGGACAGCATACCCCAAAGCCTTTTTCAGAACTGTTGAGGCCACACTACTTCGTGGATCAGGGGACTTCGTGGGGTGTCATAGCGTAGCGTTTCAGAAGGGGTTTGCGAAGATTTTGCTCGGGCAACTGGCTTCAGGATCAGAGGACTGCACGAGAGGGGCTTTGGAGTAAGGCGGCTACCGCTGTAAGTTGAAAGTTGCTGCTGAAACTCACTTGGGAGTTTCCGAAAACAAGGGGTACCTTATTTTGGGGTCCTGATAATAAGGATCCTATATTTTAGGGTACTATATTAGTGTCCCCTAATTTCGGAAACTCCCACTTCACCTACTTCTATCATTACTTGCCAGCTCTGAGTTCTCTGATCCTTCAAGTAGAAGCTCGGGCTTGTTGCGAGAGCCCCAAAGAAGTGGCAAGGGGATTCCTGCATCAGGGTCTGTGTCTTGATTTAGGGCCTCGTGTTTAGAGTTTCGGGGTTTCGGACTTCATACCTCGTCGAGACCCGAGGCTGAGCTGTGTGCAGGAGATGTAAGACGTGCCCAGAGACTTGCCACAACATAGAAGCCTGAATCATCAGCGATACTACTCCTCTGAGTACCCATTATGATTGTAACATACTATCTCCCAAATCCCCATCAAAATGATTGAGGCCCCTCCCTATATTGGCATGATCGGGCAAGCCTGCTGTAGAGTTGGATCATCGTGGATACAGAGCAACGAGGTTCCCTATGCCCAACTAAGGCCCGACTGGCGATATGGGGTCGAGGGTCTCCCTGAACCTAAACCCTAAACTCTCAACAAAACTCTAAGTCCTGAACGCATTTAACAACACTAAATAAATCCTAAAGCGCACAGAGGAAAGAGGAGGTTTCGGCCTCTTTCTCGGACATCGAGACTTGCAAGAAGGCCCCGAGCCAAAAACCAAAGATAGTGCAAGCTCTCTAAGCCCTCGGCCAGAACCTAAACAGAACGAACGCCGAGCCCTAAACCCCCCTGAGCTTTAGGGTTCTCAACCCTAAACCCTAAACCTTACAACCCTAAAGCCCTCAACCCCGCAAGCCGCCACCCCAAGCTCTGATGCTTCAGGTGCACTTCATTTCTCTGCTGCGATGGAAGCTGCATGTGCTGGCGAGAAGCTTAGAGTGAGGACTTGGTGGCTCGGGGCGAGTATAGAAAGGCCAATGAGAGCGGCATGATCGTGTACTAGTGTTTGCGCCACCGCCTTGGGGACTTGCGCTGTTATGAGGGGGAGGCCAGCAAGTGCTCCGGAATCCGCATTCGAGCCCTTGGCCAAAATCGAAACCGTTTGACCCAGAACGGCTTAACTGTTTACCCAGCGTTGCGGACAAGACCCTTCATGCAAACCGACCAGAAGATATTACGCTTTCAAGTTTCTGCGGGTCAACCTTAAGAACCCGAAACCCACTTTTTTGTAGGTTCTTATTATAAACCCTAATATGGGATTTATAGGGACCCTACAAAAAAGCAGGTTTTGGGCTCTTAAGGAAGGTAGCTTTGCACTCTGAACATGGCCAGTTATGCGGATCAGGGCGTACATCTTCGGATCTGGCTACAGGAAGGAGCGTGTTCAGGTTGACGGGGCTTATAGAGTGTTTCGAGCCTGTGGTGACTACTGAAAGTGTCTAGGAGAAGTGTACGTACTATTAGGGAGAACCCTCAAAAGGGACCCTTCTTAACCGTACATATGGCTCTCTTAAACGGGACTTTGTTGAGAGGTCCTACATCCCCAAGGGGTCCCCCCAATCCTAACTCTGAGATAATGGGACTTCGAAAGTGACATCTAGTCCGAGTTGCCGTATCTTCGAAGCAATGTCGGTCAAAGGGAGTTTGATCGCTGATTCGAGACTGGGTTCAAGGTATCTAGCTACTAGTCCATGTAAAGACCCCACGGCCAGTAGACACCTTAAACTGGCCCTGAACTCGAAAGCTTAAAACACTCCTAAACGCTCTCAACCCTAAACCAACTCTGAAGGTGAGGGTTAAGGGTTTAGGGTTTAGGGCCCTCAAGCCTCAACAGCCTCGCCCTCAACCCTCAACCACGCTCAAGGTGAGCGAGTACAGGGAGTACTTGAACATGGTTAAGCGTATCGCTTGCTCCTCGGCGGCAAGTCTGCCCTACGGGCATTCCAAGGGGCGTCGTATTAGGCAGCAGGATCTTTGTGCCTGAAATCTGCAGTGTAGCAACTACCGCAACCCTGGTCTCTTTGTTTAAGCCGCAATATCAACGAGGTCAAGGTGTAGGACGTCAGGAGGTGGAGTTCAGAGCCATTGATATCATATCGAGGCGTTGCGTCCATGTTGGAAATCCAGGTCGTCATACCCTGCATGCTGAAACATGCGGTCAGTCAAAAGAAAGCATGACCGGCCATAAAGCCTTCAAGTAGCCCTTTGACATGTGGGAGTTTCCGAAAATTAGGGTACCTTATTTTGGGGTCCTTATAATAAGGATCCTGTTAGGGTGCTATATTAGGGTCCCCTATTTTCGGAAACCCCCATGTCAAAGAATCCTTTGAAACAAACCTTACTCTCCCACCTGTTGCAAGTAGGCGGTTCTAACTTCGAGTCATCTGGTATGGTCTGGTCAAGTCTGGTCATGGAGTTGCGGTTGTTTATGTGGGGTTTGGGGCTTCGGGATGTAGGGGTTTAGGCTCTTGGACTTAGAGCCATTTAGGGTTTTAGGCCCATTGAGGCTTTGGAGTTCGAGGGTTGGGCCTTTGGGTTCTGGGGCTCTAGACACCTGCGAGGTTGGTTTTTTTTTGGGGGGGGATTTTGGCAGCTTCTTTGTAGGACTTGCAGGGTCTCTAGGTATAATTACCCAAATAGGTGGTCACGGGCACTTAAGCAGCCTGGGCGCTTGTGGCATGCGACGGGCGTTTTCCTCGAGTTTTACGGGCTTCGTCTTCTGAAACACATGGAAAGGCTCGAAAGCGGGGAATTAGGAAAGCAAAGGCTAGTGTCGAAACATCCACTAAAACTGGGGTTTTGTGCATACACGATCATACTTTGGCTAATTATCTGGAGTTAGTAGTATTAGTAGTAGTAGTAGTAGTAGTAGTAGTAGTAGTAGTAGTACGGCGCACCCCTACCGTTTGCCCGCGCTCCTCTTGAAGAAGTACCGTGTGACTGCGCAGGGCCGATGTTTCCGGTTTTGCAGTCTAATGTAACCTGTTCTATTTTTAGTGAA